AAGATGGATTCAATCATTGTATCCATTGTACCTCAAATTCGAATGTGGCCCATTCCAAATTTTTGGCCACATAGATGTCTAGGAATTCGAATGTGGCCTGACGACAAAAATTGGCCACCGTCGTACGTGGTCTGACGACGGAAATTCGCCACCATCGTCCCCCGATTTACTTCTTAAACGGAAATACAACATCATCCCGATATATCATACATGACTTCAAATAAAAGAAAGAGAGCCAACACACGCATACCAGGATCATTGTCATAGTTATATCTACTTAGTAGATACATACTTTAGTTATAGTAGATACATAGTCTAGTCCTAGTAGATACATAACTTGGCTAAGTAGATACATAATCTTAAAGATTAGTGCATTTGACGAAATAATTTCTCAATTCCAAAAACATTTCGTCATACAACATTAGTTTCAAAAAATAATAATCAGTAATGACAAGTATTTATCTTTGTCAGTATCCTTCCAATGAGGGGAAGGTCTGTGAGCGACCCTGCTATCGACAAGAAGGATGTGCTATTCATTGGAAAAGGCGTCAACGCGTCCCCTGTTTAGAATGTGGTAAACCAACTGCTTCTGAGTATAGCTTATGTAATTTACATGCAGATAAATGTCACGTTAAAGCCTACTATCACCGAAAAAAGCTGGAGAATGTGGCACAAAATAATGTTATAAAAAATACACAGTGAAATTGACTGTCACAAGTTGTCACGAGTTCGTCTCAAGTAAAAGAATTGGTAGAAAGGTAGGTTCTTGAAAGCCTGAGTTCGAAAAAAACTGTTCTCGATAACTTTCACAGATGTCACAAGTTTCTTAGGTTAATTTGTCGAGTCCCACCTTTTTTATTTTTTTTTTCTATATGTATACCCTATGTATATATCAAAGATAGATATATCATATATATCGAATATATGTATTAGGCATATATATCGGGTATATGTCAAAGGTATAACATAGGAAAAGGTTTTGATTTTTCCCTTAGATTTTACTTTTTTACTTAAGTAACTTGTGACAGATATATAAAACTAATCAAGAAACGAAAAGACTCAGAACTTTCAAACAAGCGTCACAGGTTCTGTCATAAGTACCTATAAACAACTAGTGACAACTTGTAACAAAAATATCGATATACTTTGATATAACATGTCTTTAAACATGATCGAAATCGTTTTGGTAGTATTTCCCGATAACATTTATGATGTATGATCGATAAAATGCAACTAGGACGTAACTTGGATGTGATCAAACTCAATTTGACAGCGTTAGTCGATAGCAATTATGTGGTATACTTTATAATGAGTACATATGTCATATACATGATTTTTTTTTTGAAATCAGAGGTATTAATTAACAAACATTTTATTGATATGTTTTATTATGCAGTATTAATACACTATTCTGGGCCCTTTGAGCCTATTATTGATTTAGGATATTTTTTACGAGTTGATTATAATACATGTCACAAATGACATGTTTTAAAATTTTAGAGAATTTTGCACTTAATCTGAGATATAACCACTTCCTCCACAATCTGAACATGGTTCATGTTCATAACCACTCCCTTTACACCTATTACACTTAATCCCCAGATAACCACCATATTGGTATGTCGAACCATGGCAGTATGTACAGGTGTAAGATTTATGTCCTTTACCGTTACAAGTGGAGCACTAAAAAATCACAACAATTGTTAGATATTATTTGTAAAAGGGAAATAATAAGATAGTCTACCTTATACATTTTTTTTGTTGTATCGAATATAATTTAATTATTAAATAAATGTGAAAAAGTTGTATTGAATATAAAGTTAATTATGTGAAAAAGTTGTATCGAATATAAAGTTAATTATGAAATAAATGTGAAAAAGCTAGTATTTATATATGATCATTTATCAGAATGTTCTTTGCCAATATCTGAATCATACGATACATTATATCATGACTTTGATGGTGTGATTGTATTAATTAAGTGATCACCAGATGTTTGCATAAAAATAGATAAACGAATTTTGGTCCAAAATTCCAATTCCGGTATTTTTCACAGCTAATAAAAGTTTTGCGGTATAACTCTGGGTGTGTCATTAAAGATTTAACATTTGCCGTGTCACGATCTCCTTCCAAAACTCGCAAGTCGTGCGACTTCCGTGCAGTTTTCTCGCCAATTGTCTCCTTTTGCGTTTAGCCGCGCCTGGTCTTTTTGGTTTTTGGCACGATCAACGTTCTCACCATATTTAGCAAAAATTGTGTCGTACGGCAAATGTTTTGTTTTATAAAACAGGTTGCATTGAAATTGAGTTGCGTTGAATTGAATTGTAAAGCAATGCAATTGAAACCGAAAAATCTTTGTTTTTTAAACCTAATTTTTTGGGAAGGAATTTTTTGCTTTCGCTGAGTGGTA